GGTGAATGAATCAATTCACACACATACACACACACACACACACACACACACTCTCTCTCTCACACACACACACAAAAACAAACAAACAACAACAAAAAAAAAATCAGAGGAGGGAGAGGAAGATATAACAACCACAATTTTTTTTTTTTGAAGTTCTTACAACAAGAAAATGGAGGGGACAAGCCTGGGTGGGAGGGGGGAGAGGGAGGAGGGAGGGAGGTTTCGGTGATGGGACACAATAATCAACTACATTGTATATTGACAAAATAAAAATAATAATAAAAAAAATACAAGATACTAAACATTTTTGTCTTTGCAAGCCAGACAGTCTCTGCACAACTACTCATGGCTATCATTGTGTAAATGCATGAACAAATGAGTGTGACTATGTTCTAATAAAATTTAGTATGAACACTGAAAGTTGAATTTTATTAAATTTTTAGATATCAAAAAATATTATTCTTGTTTTTATTTTTTTCTGCCATTAGAAAAAATGTGAAGACCATTCTTAAATCATGGACCATACAAAAAGAGGTGGCGGGTCAGATTTGACCTATAGTATGCTGACCCCTGATTTAGGATATGAGTTACAGTTGTAGCAAAAATTTTCCTAGAAGAAGGATTAAAACCAGTACCTAAAACTAACTTTATAGATTTCATATGGAGTTCGATAATCCAGACTGTTTATATGCTCAATTGCCACAGATAATACATAGTTCACAAAGCTATGATTTAAAGGGAAAAAACAAAAAATGATGAAATTTGAAAAGAATGGAAAGAGGCAGGCATAAAACATATGTGTATATATATATATATGCAAGTATATGTGTGTGTATAGTATATATTATATATGTATGGGTATATATAAAATGTATATGTAAAATCTAGAAGTACATATACTCAAAATGTAAATAACAAGCTCTCTAGACAGTGATCTAGAAATGATTTTAATGCTTTTCATCATACTTTTCTGTATTGGTTACTTTTTAATTTTATTTTACATGAATATGTATTAGTTTGGTCATATAAATGTGCATGTGTATATATAAAACTATTTCCTTAAAAAAAAAATTTTCCCTTCATAGTCAGAGGTAAAATGCATGGTCATTTATTTTTGAATAACTATTGATTTTTTTAATCGAAACATAATTGATTATGCATATTTGTGGGGTACAGAGTTGACTATCAACTCTGTATTTGTGTACGATATGTAATAATCAAATCAAGATAATTAGCATATTCATCATTGCAAAACGTAATCATTCTTTGTGTCCCTTAACCAATTTGTCACTAAACCCCCCTTCCCACCTCTAGTAACCACAGTTCTGTTCTCTCCTTCTGAAAGTTTGACATATTATTATGATTCTCTTTCTTCCCTTCCTTCTTTCTTTCTTCTTTCTTTCTCTCTCTCTCTCTCTCTTCTTTCTCTCCCACTTATGAGTGAGGACATGCAGTATTGCTCTTTCTGTGCCTAGCTTATTTCACTTAATAAACTTGTGCTCAGCAACCTATACAATATGATATCACATGGCATTTCACCAAAAAAAAATTCATTAATCAAATCAGATGAGTGTAAAGCACTTGTTCAACATCCACCCAATTTCACAATTTGGGAGCTCCTCTCTTCTGATTTGTGGAACTAACTTTTCAAACTCAGGTTCACTTAAGGTTTGGCAGATGATCAGTCTTTTTTCTGACAGGCGAGCTTGATGAGTCAGTGGTAATAAGCAGGCTTATAAGACCACAGATTCTATAACAGGCTGTGGTTTTATTAAGAAGTAATTTGATCTAGGAATTTATACCACAGAGAAATTATCCCTTGTTGGAAATCTCAAATGACACACAAGCAGCACTTATAGTCTTCTTATTCTAAATAATCTTTTTATTCATTTTTCATGACAAGTATATTGATTTTAGAGAAGTGCCCAATAAGTACATATTCTTCTCCCCTCCCTTGTATATATGCCACAGGATCAAAACTTGGCCTAAAAAGTTTCACTAAAGCCTAAAAAACTGGTCCTTCCATGACATCCACAAAGATGGTCATTAAATTTGAATGATATTGGATGATGAGGGGGGAATGAGCCCATACATATCAAGCTTTCAAAGATGCTCTATCTCTGCACCTCTGACTCTATGTACATTTTATAATGACTATTGAAATACCTCGCTTAATTCAGCTCTTTACATCAGTCATCTCTGATCACATGACAAGTTGCTCAAATATTGATATCCAACTATAGGATTACCTTTATGACAACAGGATTATTTCCAAATGAGCTTCTTGGGGATAGCCATAAACAAACATCAAAGTAAATAGTATTTTCATCACAACAGGATTTATACAAGTACTTTGTGATATATTGAAAAATATGAAAATCATTTTTAACAAAGTTCTATTCTGTTGGGATTTTTTTTTTCTTTTCTCAGATAGATAAGACATTTCGAAGATCCAGTTTAAACCATCTTTACATCAAGTCTCATGTTATCAACCTTAGGTAATCACAACTAACTAATTTGCATGGTGAAAAAGTCAACTTTGTTTTATTTAGTTATTCTTCAATTTTCTGCTTTGTGAACAGGATCTAAAGATCTTAGATATACCAAAAGCAAAAATAGTTTAAATATTATTACATTTAATTGTTATTCCTCCTGTATAGAGAATCTATAGTGAAAGAGTTTCTTGAATAATGATAAAATATAATCCACTGTTGTCCTTTTAAAGAATTTTATATTTCAATTGAAGATGCTTATAATAACTATTTTTTTCAATTTTACTTTATTTTTTTTACAATAACATCTATTATAAATTTTCAAAACTCAAGAATATATATGCACATATATAGTATACATGCAAAGTTGGTGGATCTAACAAGTGCTTTTCATATTTTAGAACAGTTAGATACCCATCCTCTCCCTGAATATAACCAAGTTTTACAAGCAGGGAATAAGTCAGACATTAATACCTGTGTGATATATGAAAAAGAAAAAAATACATGATAACAAAATGTATCAACTATTTGTTGTATTTTCTTGGGGATATAAAAATATTTAAGTTACATAATATTTAAGTAACATAATAATTACTGTGGCTATGACCTCACTCATTCTAGTGATTTTGCTTTTCAGGCCAAGTAATGATGGTTTGGAAACAGATGTACTTCTTAAATTTCAGTTTACTTCTAACAATGCAGACACAATAAAAAGGCAAGTTGACAATATTTTGCATCAGGAGTTGAAATCAAATGAAAGCTTCTTGAAGATCGATACTTCATCACCTTACCTTAGAGGCAAGAAATACTATTTTTCTTCCCTGTTAGTTATTCATTTTAACAATCTTCTCATCTACAGAGAATAGTTCACCATAAAACGAAACCACTTTTCATTTTAAGTTTCTCATTTACCTGATAATGAACAAACCCCGACACAATCAGCATCAAAGATTATCTTCCTTTGGCTAGTATAAAAATAATTATGTAATTAAAAATTGTACAAGAATTGTATGACAACCCAAATATAGTAGTATTTCTTCCTTTTTTCAAAAGATCTTAGTGAAATCATTTGAATTAATTAAGCAAGCATGTGATAAAAAAAACTTACACTCTGCTGCCAATATAGTAACCTGTAGAACCCGGCTCTCTCTTACAATATGCTCTTCAATCTGAATCCAGAACGTGAGAAAGGTGTGGACACACAAACCACAATATGTGGGGCACAATCATGATTTGAGCTCAAGCAGAAGGAGGCCTGGCATTTCAGGTTACACTAGCAAACCCTTTCGACAGCACACAGGATAGGATTGGGCCGGGACATGGAGTGGGCAGGAGGAGAAAAAAGAGGCCAGACCTGATAGCACTTACCTCAGACATAGAGACACCATCTCCTTTGCAAAGTCCTTTATACTTTCAAGACTGTCGTTAGACCTCTATGAATTAACTTTGAAGATGTCATACTTTACCAGAACTTGTTTAAGCTGTGAAATAAGATTATAAGGCTAACAGAAAATTACAAGCTACCAATAAATCTTCCCTCAGTACCTTTTCCCCAAACTGTTCCAGAGGTCTAGAGCAGATATATTATAATATGCTAGTAGAGAAGATAATTATATTATAGGCTTTTATTATGGCCAAAGTCAGAAAGAAGAAAAAAATAGATGAAGAACATGAAGTCCCTGTGAGTAATGCCCAACATCGAGTTCTGTTAACCACGCAGACAGAACAGACTATCTGAATGCAGTGAATCAGATCAGAGTGCCGTGAGTCCAATGCACTGAACTTTAGAAAGCAGAGACAAGACTTCCTAAAGAAAGTGTTTTGTTGAGGAGATGTAGGTATGTATGAAATGTAACTCTATTTTTAAACAATTTAATTTTGATCTTGAGTTTCTGTTAATTTCTAGTGTTAGAAATTTAAACTTATAATTTCTGGATCTACCCCCCACTTGTACCCCACACCCACTCTTTTGTGTTGCTGGGGTGGGGATGGGGGATTTTTTTAGGTCTCAATCATTAACAGTCTATGCAGGCATCTGCTAGTGACTCATCTATCCATCCCCAGATCCTCAGTTGCCTGTCTCAGGAAGTTACTGTTGACACATTCCTCATTCCCATCAAAAAGGCCACCTCGGAGTGGTAATTTCTGATACTTCTGTGCTGCATAAAATTGCTTGGGAATTACTTTGATTTGAATATTTTTTTGTTTCATCTTTCTTCACAAAAGACTGATAATTCTTTGAATATAGGAAACATGTTGGATGTAATCAAAAGCACATACTCAAAATTAGCATAGAGCTCAGCACAGAGTAGGAACTCAGTATTTGTAAAATGTTTTTTCTTTAACTCTGTAAGCTTACTCAATCCCTTGAAAATGATGAAGAAATAAGAGGGGTATTTTAAAATTAGTAATACTACAGAACACTGAGGAACCTGAAATCATTTCTTTCCACACAGAGTTTCAGAACTCTATTGGACAAACAAATGAGAGGTTGTATACTTAAAAAATTGTAAAACAAAAGTTGAATTTCATCAGGAAAGAAACATCATTTAAACACATATAATATAATGCACTAGAATGCACTCTAGGAGGGACTGTAGATGATACTGGAAAAAAAAGCCCTAGACTACAACTCTGAAGACCTGTGTTCTAGCAATAACCATAATAGTGTAGCCTTCACTAAGTGGCTGAAACTTTGTGTCTTGGTTCCTGAATGGCAAAATAAAAATAATAACTATGGAACTTATTATTTGTAAAAATGCTTTGACATGTACTAAATAAAAATAAATTAATTAAATGTATTATTTCATGGACTCTCTAGGTATCTAGGTTCTTTTCTACAAGTTTTATAGCTTTACATTTCAAACTTATACTTTTATCTATCCATTTTATATTTTTTCTGTAAGTCTTATAGTTGTCTGTGATCCATTTTATATTTTTTCTGTAAGTTTTTTACTTGTCTGTGATCCATTTTGAGCTGCTTTGTATGAGCTGTGAGGTTTAGATAGAGGTTTATTTCTTTTGGTAATTGATGTCCAATTGCTCCAATATGATTTATTAAGTTATTTTTGGTCTTTTGTCAAAAATTAATTGGGCATATTTGATTTATTTATGATGTTTTTGAGGTTATTACTCTGTATAGTTCTTACAGGTCGCTCTAGGCATTATCAGAAACATACATAACTACTGGTGTCAACATTTTACCACCTTAAGTGAAATGTAGAAACTTTCCTCCCATTTAGTTCTCCTTACTCTTTTGCTTTTTAAGTTACTTCTCTTAAGTATTTCTTCAACACACATTCAGCACATCAGCTGGTTTTATATATTTCACTCCAACCATAAAAATGTGCAAACAAACTCATAAGTGAAAGATAGTCTATTATTTTTATTTCTTTTTTAAACAGTTTTTTGAGATAACAGATTATATTTCTTTGTGGGGTACAGACTCCAATATCAATACATGAGTACAATATGTGGTGATCAAATCAGGATAATTAGTAGACTCATGGTTACAAAACATGATCAGTCTTTGTGACCCTTAACCAGTCTTTTGTCAACATCCCTCCCTTTCCCCTTTCCCACCTCTAATAGCCACATTTGGTTCTTTTTTTTTTTTTTTTTTTTTTTTTTTTTTAAAGTATATTATCATGTTTCTTTCCTTCTTTCTTTTTTTCTTTTCCTTCCTTTTTTTTTTTTTAAAGTATATTATCATGTTTCTTTCCTTCTTTCT